AGTGTGCTACCACTTGAGCCACATCCCCAGCCCAAAGATGGAAATTTTTAAGATCACATACTGGGCCAGGGGTATAGCTCAAAGATAGAGCTCTTATCTAAGATATAGGAGGCCTTGAGTTCAATCCTCATCACCTTCTACCCCCACCCAAATAAACACCTGATTTATTCCAGCAGTGGGTGAAGAGTGTCAGTGGACTGAAGATCTTTGTGATTAGCAACAATATCTAGTGATACTGTATTGGATTTGAGAACAGCCAGGTTGAACAATATCCAGTGACATGGAAAACTGGTAAGAAAATATCAGTAATGAAGATATTGCTTGCTAGGTGGGATGCCTCATTCCAAAATATTCCATTGTTGCTTGCCTTACACCATTCTACAAAGAGAAACCTCAATCTGATAGTGAAAAAAAGGGGGGCGGGGCGGGGATTGAGTACTCACCAGGAGTCCCAGGGTCCCCCATAAGGGATTTTGTCACTGATTCTATAATTTTAATAGAAGAAGGCCAATCGGTCTCTAGAACAATTCTTCCCTGTAGGTGGTCCCAGACTATCTGTTGTTCAATCATGCTGAATATTTAAAAGAGCAGATAACTATCCTCCACCCCATATTCCTAATTTGCCTGAACTTTTACACATGAAAATATTTTACAGCGGTTCCTTTAGGCCAGTGTTACCCAAATATTAGATATCCATTTGTTACACTCGCCATGGCTATTATAATAGCAAGTACAATTTAAATTTGTATAAAATAAAAACCTTATCTCATAGGCTTGATATGCTCTAATGTTTTCAAATACATGCAAAAGCAAACAAAATTGTGAACATTTCTCTCTACACCACTTAAAATTTCCTTGCATACCTTGACTGTATTCACCAATACACTCAAGAATATATATCCCTTCTTTTCTTCCTTCCTGGATATATGGAACACTGTACTTCCCAGTTCCGTGACAGTACTTGAAGCCATTTGGCTAATTCTGCTCTAAGAAAGATGAGCAATGGAAATGTGTATGATAGGTGGACTGAGAGAATGAGATAGGTACTCTAAGAAACCCTCCATTTCTCAAATCCTTTCTGTAGCAAAGGAGGGTAACTTAACATTGTAATGGTGAAGCCAAGAGATTGAAGCATCTTAAATTTGGAATTCACCACACTGAGGGCAGTTGCCCTGTAAAATTACCCAGACCACCAGTGGATTTCATAAGAGCAGGAAATAAACATGTTATATTAAGTTACCTGATTTATTAATTGCCACAGTATTGCAAATCCTCCCTAGCTAAATACACACACTTTGCCTACTTTTGAAATCATGCTCTTGGACAAACACATAGTATTGACAAGTCATGGATACTGTATACTTTTACCTGTCACTATAGCTGACATCAGCAGATGTTACCAATATGGTCATGTAAAAATGTTTACTTGGTGTTTAAATAAGAGGTTAAGTGATTTACAGTGTCACTGTTACAATTAAATAGGATTATGCCCTTAGCTTTTCCAATTGAGCATTATACACGAAAATAATGTTATAAACATCATTTATAAGTGAACAGCATGGGACTATACTTCAAAAGCTTTATGACTAAAACCATTAATAAGCCAAACCATCATAATAACAATGATAATGAACATTTTTAGAACTAAATTTTGTCTATGCTAGCCATGGAATTTCAGTTTCACTAATCCCTCTTCAACTCCTGCTATTCCAGGGATGTCCAGTCTGGAGCATCTCAAGTGTCCCATCAATATAACCTGCTGTTGCAGCTGCTGCCACCATTGTTGCTGTTGAATTTTATAGGCCAAGACTGCTGATTCCTTTACTTGTCATTCATTTTGGATGCCTTATATCACATATTTGTGTCTATTAACTATAATACCACATTTAAAGAAGGTGAGGACAAATTGATACCTAAATTGCCCTTGATTTGTATGCTACTGCAAGTCATCCTAGAGAATGGCATCCCACCAACTAGTACCACCCAGGACCCAATTCTGTCACCTGCATTAAAGAGGTTTGGATCATCCAGATGATTGATTAGTCAATACATTGACTTTATTTTTCCATTTAGACCAGCTACTCTGAGAAGAAAAGAAGAAAAAAGAGAAGGAGGAGGAAGAGGAGGAGGGGGAGGAAGAAGAAGGAAGAGGAAGGGGAGAAGAAACAAAGAGGGAGGGGAGAGGGGGGAAGACTCAAAATGTGGGCAAAAATTTCAAAATCTTTGTTTCTCACTTATACTAGGTTTCTTCTAGGTTCCTGACAACAATAAAGAAAAACAGGAGAAACTTTTGACTCAGGTATGAGATTTAATGGGCTTTAATCAAAGAGAAATGTTTCTCATGCTTTTTTTTTGGTATTAAAATGAAATTATATGGATAGCATTAATTCTGAAATGCATTTAATTTTTAAGGTCTTGAGACATTTTCTTATACTCTTCTTTGTGGGTTATAAAGAATTCCTTAAAAAGACAGCTTTTTAAATTTATATATGTATA